CAGTGAAGTAACGTCCTCCACAATTAGACTGAAGAACAAAAGGACAGCAACTTGTCTGTTCCCCTTCCCCCAATTCCCCACCGCTGTTCCCATCCCCCAAATTCCCCAATAAAAATCTTAAAAAAAAAAAAAAGAATAAATCTAACAGATGTTCAGCATCTGCATACTGAAACTACAAAACACTGTTGAGAAACATTAAAGAAGACTTAAATAAATGGAGAGATATTCCACATTCATGGATTGGAAGACGTGCCACTGTGAAAAAAGCAATTCTCCACAAATTGATGATATATGGGTTCAACACAATCCTAACAGAAATCCCAGCAGTATTTTTGTAAATGTATACATTCTAAATGTATAAGAAATGCAAAGCACCTAAAAATAACAAAGTATTCATAATCTAAAACAAAAGAACATTTTTGTAGGACTCACAGCACTAGATTTCAAGGAAAACTAAAAAACTAGTGTTTACAAAATTAAAAACTTTTGCTCTTCAAAAGACACCATTAATTAATTTAAAAGGCAAGTCAAAGATGATACGAAAATAGCTACAAAATATGGACTTGCAAACAAAATATATATAGAACTCTTACAACTTAATAAGGCAAAAAATTCAATTAAAAATAGGCAAAAGTGAAAAAAAACAGGCAAAAGGTTTAAACAGACACTTCATGAAAAAGATAATCAAATGGTCAATAAGCACATGAAAAGATTTTTAGAACTATAGATGGACTAAAATGGCTAAAGTTAAAAAAAAATCAGCAATAATACCAAGTATTGGTACAAATACATAACAACTGGAATTCTCATACATTGCTAGTGGGATGCAAAATGGTACAGTCACTTTGCAAAATAGTTTGGCAGTTTCTTATAAAGTTATACATACACTTACCATATAACCCAGCAATTACACTCTTAGATATCTATCTAGTCAAGAAAAACAAAAACATATGTCCACACAGACTTGTACACAAATGTTCACAGCAGCATTTTTCAAAATAGCCAAGAACTGGAAACAACCCAAATGTCCATGAAATGGAAGCTAATTATGGTATTCATACAATGGAATATTATTCTTCTATAAAAAGGAACAAACTACTGATATATACAATATGGATGAGTCTCAAAAACATCATGCTAAGTAAGTGAAATGAGCCAGATACAAAAAGACTACTCATGATTCCATTTATATAAGATATTAGAAAAGGTGACAAAAAGCAGATTAGTGGTTGCCTGGGCTGGGACTGACGAAAAGGAACTGAGTGTAAAGGAGCAGAAGGTAACTTTTTGGAGTGATGTACTAGGTCTTGATTTTGGTGGTGGTTACACAACTGTATGCCCAAACTCATCAATGTGTATACACAACAATGGGTGAATTTTATTACATGTAAATTATACCTCAGTCGGCTGTGAAAAAAATACAATATAGTAGCATTTTTCTCCTTGACTAATTAGGATTGAAAAATAATTAATAAAGGACTAATTTTTTCATTAAGTGATTCAACATGTAAAGAAAAGTTATACAAAACTTGGAAGTAAGATAAGGGAGAGCTGCATGTCCTTTCAGTGTCATACTGGAGGACTGTTTAACAGGCCCAACCCAAGAATTATTTAATTCTCTAAGAGAATGTCCTCACGTTTGACTTTTATTTATATCTACTATTACCGAAGGCCCAGATGCTATCTATGAAGTTTCATGTAAACTAGCAGATTTTTGTGTCTAACAGAAATGCAAATGATTTGTCTAGTAGCAAAGATAACCCCAAAGGTTATGGGGTTTATTGCCTTGTAAGCCATTAATCAGTTTTGTATCTCACTTGCAATCATTTAACTGCCTTTTTTCCAAATGCCTATAAATACCTGAATCTTCAAACGCTCTTTGAACCAATTTTCCCTAGTATGTCTCTCACTAATGAGTCGAAAATTTTTGATACAAGTTCATTCTCTAGTCCTATAAAATCATGTTTTTAATGTTTTTAAAGTCACACTTTGATGACTATTATTCAATGTTTCATTTGAGTGTCAATTTAAATCATCTCACATACATTGATGTGAGTCATACATTTTGAGAAACCCATTAGGTTACACCTGAAATGGGAGGGATTATTTCTCAGTGCTCTGCACTTCCTTTATGACTTTATAAGTATTCTGTATTAGTGCCAGGGTAAGGAATCTTGACGGAGCCTCCCTTATTTATTTATTTTTTGCCATGTTGTAACCTACAATGTTGACTTAAAAAGCCAATTCCTCATCCTTTGCATTAAAGCACTCAGAATGGAACCCCTTCATAAAAGGGGTGATTTTAACTTAGAAATTAATGTACTTTGTTTCTTGGCTACTTCTTCTTCATCTCCAACTTCATCTTCAGTGACCTCAGATCCGGTGGTATATTCTTCTTCTTCTGAAAATAATGACTGTTGTTTCTGAATTAAAAAACAAAACAAAACAACATATCCTATTAAAAACATTATCACATCTCAAATGAATTTTTTCTCAATTTATTTTGGGTGAATGAGTCAAACAAGAGCTTATAAAATGACCACTGCCTAGACAACATAAGGACAAGATCACATTACATCAAAGGTTTTTTATTTATTTCCTCCACACATTCTAGCAGACTATGGGCACCTAACAAGTACTTGGTATTTGTTGCTTTGCACCTTTATCACTCAACTGATATTAAGATTAAATTAATATATAATAATTGCCAATATTAAAGGAGTCTTATAAACAAGCACATGGCACATTTTCTGGGTCAGTGTGGTCCTGGACTACTTAAACATATTCACATCAGTTTCCTGCAGCTACCTACCCTACTGTTTGTCATCACTGATCCAAATTCCTACTCCATTTTTATGAATACTAATGGCAGATGGCATAGTAATGGCAAACAGTTAAAAAAAAATCAACCAATCAAACAACCAAATACTTGTAACTTAATGGATTTGTAGCTTTACTCCATGTCCTAAATGTAACTTTTAAAAAGTCACTGAAGGGGCCGGCTGAGTGACTCAGTTGGTTAAGAGCTCGCTCAAGAGTTTGAGCTCTGAGCAACAGCGGTTTGATTCCCAGCCCGAGCTGAGCTGCCGCTGAGCTGCCAACAGGTGGCGGGATGGCTCAGCTAAAAAAAAAATATACTGAAGGAGGCTGATGGATTATGCAGCCAGATAATGGAGTACATGTCTGTTTTAAACAATGATTTTTAGTAAGTATAAAATTGTAGAAAAGGGTGATATACACTTAATTAAAATCTATAAAATAAGATGCTGATAAGATTCTATTAAACTAAACTTTAATTTAGGAAGAAAGAGATCCATGGAAGTGGAATATAGTTGCTCACTTACCAGTTGCAGAGTCCAGTTTTTCAGTGACAAGAACTATAAAAAGACAAAAGAATAAGAGATTAATAAATCTGCATCTACCCAGATTGCCGTTCCTTATTTTCATATGAATATTTTAGAAGAGCTGAAAAAAGTTAAAGTGTAGTTCCCTTCTAGGTTGAAACATAAGTTTAAACTCAGGCTGAAAATGATGTATTATAATCTTTTATATCCCCTGTCTGGAGATGTATATGTTTACCTAAAAAAAGAAAAAAAAAATTTCCCAGTGTCATTTCTAAAGGACAAGTAAATTCCATGTAGAGATAATATAATTTTAGCTTTTTTTTTTAACTATTTCAATCACTTTTTGATGTTTATATTCTATGATAAGTTAAGGAACCAGATTACATACAGATAGTGAAGAAATCTAATTTGCTATTTTGTACATAATTTATAAATAAATGATAATGATTGAACACTTGCAGCTGTTTGGAGTTTATAACGCATTTTACATGAAATATTTCACTTTCTCAAGTTCATGCTACCTTAACCAACACAAAGGCAGGAAGTTCACATGCAAACAGACTCCCTAGTTGTTAGCAACAAGACTCAAAGGAATGGAAGCTTCCTGGTCACCTGAAAAATATTTCAAATTTGAAACCTAGTGAGAAACTAAATGCATTCCTGATCACAATAAAAAAAAATTCATACTGAAAAAAGTTTATAGTACTAGGAGGGGACAAAATATCCCATTCATACTATCTTCATTCCTCAAATCATTATTTGTCCATAATAAAAACCATCAAGGCCACATTATTTTTTTTCCCCTCAAATTTAAGTCAATTAGTTATTAATTCTTTGAGGGCAAGAAACGTGTCCTATTACCTTTATTCAACATAATACCTTATGAACAGGTAGTAAATACTTCTTGACTAGAGATTTTAATTTCAATTTAAACAGATCAGGTTTCTGTCAAAGATGAAATGTCATTCATTTTCTTTTTCTTTGTCATTAATTGTTTATATACATAAGGAATACATAAAACACGCTACTCACGGCATTGAGCTCTCCAGTTTTGGGGCCCCATGGTGTAGTTGGCTCCAGTAAAACATCACAGTCTAGACCCTTCTCATCACAGGGCCCAACCCCAGAATCACTTAAAAGAAAAAGACATTTTATAGAGAAATCTTTAATTTTTTAAGAACTTAATTGCAAATGTTATCTTTTTTATTGCAAATGTTTTGTAAATTGCTCTTTAGAAATACAGTTCTTGAGTATAAGGTATGCCACTTCAACACTTACATTTCTTAATTCATCTGGTGATTCCCTTAGCAGAAGTCACTCTATACACTCCTGGCATCACACTTGCCAGGTGGTGAAATGGGTTCCTATAATGGGTACTGTTTTGAGAACAGCCTTTATTACCCTCAACCTGTACTCCTGCTGCAGTTGCAAAATGATGGAAGTGACTTCAGAAATTGCTGAATTCAAGGAGTTCAAATTTATGCAAAGATGAACTCAACCATCAACTATTTTTCTAGTTGTGTCAATTAAGCATTTAAGATGGGCTTAAATAACTTGGGAAATGAAAAGAAAAAAAAAAAAACCACTTCAAAAATTGGATTGCAGGTCCCAACCTTTCAATCACCAATGACTCCTTTTATTAGTTTTTCTTCCCTTGGATCTCCAATTTTTGAAGTGTTTTTCCTATCAAATGAACACCTGCTTGCTCTTATTGTAAGTTAACATATAATTTCAGTTAAACTTTCTGAAATAATGTAAACAACTTGAGTACTGACATTAGTGATTGGGGAAACACTGGGGGAAAGAGGATTCTGAGATGGGAGTCACTGAATAAAGGTGCAATACAGCATTTCCCCTGCCCCTGCCTCACCTAACTGTGTCTTTAGAAAAAGGCACAACAATGACATCTTTGTGTTGGTGCAGATCTTCCAGTATTCTAGCAGTTGGACAGGATAGCAAATCTCCATCTTCACCAAGATCATGAAAAGCAACTATGTGGTCCCTCAGTTCACAGCCCTGTTGTATAAGAGACACTAAATCAGAGAGGTTGGTTCATTACAGAGACATTCCTTTAAAGATGACTCTATGTTTTTGTTCTTCTTTGCCTGGTCATATCGTCATATATTATAGCAATCATTTTACAACTTTTTCTCAAAGGAAAAAAAACTCATACAGAAAGCAGCAGGAAACAAATGTATATTTAAAAAATATCCAAGAATATCCATGTAACCACCATCTACATTAAGAAATGGAATATTTCCAACAATCCAGGTGTCCCCATGGACCCATAACTGCCTCCCAAGAAATGACCTCTATCCTGACTCACTTCCTCGCTTTTATCCTTTTGTCACCTAAGTATGCATTTCTAAATACTATGGTTTAATATTGCCTCACTTGTTTTGTTCAACATGTTTCTATGATTCAACCACAACGTTGCATGTAACTAACATTTGCTTTAATGTATAGTATTCTACTTTGTGAATATACACAATTTATTATACAGTTGATGGATGGGTTGTTTCCAGTTTGGAACTATTCGAAATAATACCATTATGAACATCCTTTTACATGCTTCCTGGTGCACAGGTGCCCCTGTGTACCAACATATATTACTATCAGCAGTGTATGACAGTTCTCATTACTCTATATCCTCAGTAACACTTGGTAAGACATTTTAATTTTAATCATCCTAATGAGCGTGCAGTGGTATCTCATTGGTTTTAATTTGCATTTCCCCAGTTACCAATTAGGTTGAGCTCCTTTTTATATTTACTGGACAAGAACAAGGAACTTTGTTGTGTAACGTGCCTACTGTCTTTTTCTTAGTGATTTGTAAGACTTTTTAAAAATCTTAATATGAACCCTTTATGGATATGTGTTGCTAGTATCTGGTCCCACCCATGAGTTTGTCTCTTCAGTTTTGGTTTATTTAATGTAGTTGATGTACTTGAATTTTAAAATTTCTTCCTTTATAACATTACCTTTTATTTTGTTTTGTTTTGTTTTGTTTTTTGTTTTTTAGCTGAGCCATCCTGCCACCTGTTGGCAGCTCAGCGGCATCTCAGCTCGGGCCAGGACTCAAACCGCTGTTGCTCAGAGCTTGCACTCTTGAGAGAGTATACCATTACCTTTTAATAGCTTTATTAGTTTTCCTTTCACATATAAGTCTTTTTTGTGAATAGTTTGGGCTAGAGTCCAAATCCATTTTTTCCCTGATATGGATATCCCACTGTCACAGTACCCTTTATTGGAAAGTCTATTCTTTGCCCACTGCTCTGTAATGCCACCTATGTCACAGCCAAGTATCCAAGTGGCTGAGTACTTTATATTTTTCTATTGGTCCATCCACCTACTCTGCCAGTATCACCCTGTCTTAATAATCAAAGTTTTATAATAAATCTTGATATTAGGCAGAGCAAGTACTTCTACCTTTGTATTCTTTGAGAGTATCTTAGCTATTCTTGGCCCTCTGCATTTCCATATACACTTTAGAATCAGCTTAGCAAAGTTCCTATAAAAACCCATTAGGATTTTTATTGAAACCGCATTGATCTATATAGATCAGTTTGGGAAATATTTACATCTATAATATTGAGTATTCCCATCGATGAATATGGTACAATAAACCATTTTTTTAGTTTTCTTTATTTTCTCTCAATAAAGTTTTATGTTTTTTATATAGAGTTCTCACACATATTTTGTTAGATCTATTCATAGGCACCTGATAGTTTTAAGATTACTGTAAGTGGGCCGGCCGAGTGGCATGTTGGTTAAGAGTGGCTTGGGACGCCAGAGGACCCCGGTTCGGATCCCACATATGAGGGCCAGTGACACTGCCCTCTACAGCTAAGATGCTGAACAACAGCTCAACCTGGAGCTGGGC